ATATTGATGTGTAGTTCATCATTTTCCATGTTGTTATTGAGCTTGTCCCACTAATTTTGCAGGGATTCAGTTTTAATTCATTCATCACTGTACATTATATTGGCAAAATATATTTTTTCCCATTCAAAAGAGATAATATTTTGTTTTAAATGGTTAATCGCTATCTATCTATTCACAGATATAAAAGCTGTTTTCTTTTTTCCCTGTCAATTAAATTTCTTAACTTCACTTTAAACTGGTGTCGGTAATGTTATGTTTTTGTTTGTATTTTGAAACTCACATTTGTCTTACTTCATCTGCTCCACTCCCTCTCTGCACCTTACTTTATATAACATGAGATGCTGACAGGAGCACTCACTAAAACTGCACCTGCCAGACAGCACCTGACAGACTACACATGACAGACAGCACCTGATGGACGGCACGTGACAGACTGCACCATCCAAATGAATACCAAGATTTTTCCCGCTGCTGATTCAGAACCAAAGAGCTTATGGAACAGGGCGACAGGGGAAAGCAGTAGGATGTATTGCTGGCTCTGTTTTTCACTGGGGTGTAGTCATTTATTGGTAACACTTGGTTTGGTGGAAGAATTATGATAGTGCCAAAGGGCTGATTTGAAGAAACATTAGATTTTTGTTCTCCAGTATATAAAAAATGTATAGTATTTTCTCATATGATCAGAAAGGGTTGTTATCTTTAAATTAATCAAGTACTACTGCTACTACACTAAGAAACCACATTTTCAGATGAGCTTTAAAATCACGTCTCTCTGTACTTTCAAAACAAAATGATAATCTCCAACCGCTCCAACAGTGCCATCTTGTGGAACCACTTCTGCACCATGGCAAATATAATGTTTGTACCATCAATTAAATGTGCTCGGTTACAATTCAAAACCTATCTATATTAAACAACTATAATATCTAACATCACAACTTTAAGAACTATAATTTCTAACATCACAGCTTTTTTCAGCAATGTGAATGAAAAATGAAAACTCAAGAATGTGTACTTCAAGAACAGGACACTAGGTGGAGTTGTTATCACACAGATTTTCTGAAGCACTCTTAAGTTGCATAACAGGTAATTATATTTTCCTCCACTTTAAACTAGAGAAGAAATACCTGAAAAGTAATTTAAAATAATTTCTCACATTCGTATGTTATTATGTTAGTTGGTAATTGCCTTAGCTTTCCAAAGACCAAACACATCATTAGTTTGAAGATTTCCTTCTTAAATTGTGCTCACAAATTTTTGAGATTGCCGTTTTCAAAATTTGATAAGCCTCGTGTGTGTGCCAATTAGCTCCATCCATCTTTTTGTCATGCACACTTAAATATAAATTGTGTTTCAGTTTTTATCTTGTTGCTGTAGCTGTTGTGTAACCATGTCTCTGATGGGGTGTTGAACCACATCAAAGCCTGTTGTTTTATGATCACAAAGACTCAGGAATAGCTCCTCTCTTCAGCGTCTCACTGTTTCTGACTGTTTAACCTCCTCAACTCTGGGAGTAGTTAAGAAGAGTCATACAAAGACAAGTAGAGTTAATTTCTCTCATTCAGAATATCAGTTTTTGTAATTTATAAGTCAAATATAACTTTCAAGTAAAATATTTTTGTTCACATTTTTGAATATAATTTTCAGTTTGATTTTATTTTTCTTACTGAAAACAGATGATAATGACTTCCTACAGTATTTTCCCTGAACATAAACAACACAGACATGGAATAATTGCCGTTAAACTAAAATGGTCATATTTCTCCCATCAAAGTGTGAAAAGCGAATGTTTCTGTGTTTACTGTACGGGACAGATAGCTTTCAATTACGCGGTACACAGAAACTGGTATAGCTGTAAATTGCGTGCTAAAGATTATAAGAAGTAGCAGTAGCCTATGTCTCCAGCCGCGCTCCAAACCCACAGGGGCTAATCACCATGGCAACGCTGTTTCTCACACCCCTCTCTGCCTTCACACTGTATCACTGTATGCACTATACTTTACACCGGCGGCTTTGTGAAACGTCGCTGTCTTCACCTACATGTTTTACACACAATATTGCACTTTTCTCAGCTGGTAATGAGCAGTGTTAAAATGAACTGTTGTTTGTAATACTGTGGAAAACCATACTCCCATTTACAGTTTTGTTCCAGTTTTTATAATGCTGATATAATGACCTTCAATACTACTTTGCATCTTCTTTGAGTGTTCCATTGGGCTGATAGCTTGAAGGTTTATATGATGTTTTGAAGGAAGGAGATTTAAGTTTAAAAAAGTGTTGGTTGAATGCAGTGGCACACAAGTATCTCAACTTTATCTAGTATTGAGTTGTTGTTGTTGTTGTTGTTATTGTTGTTGTTTTACCATTGTTTTGTTCTTTATTAAAAGTGTACACTACATAAGTTATAGTATGTTAAAAATATATGTTATTTGTATGTGGCCAACAGATGTTAAAGACCTAATTGGAGTTTTCATTGACCGATGTATAAAAACAAACTCTAAAGTATTGATACTTTGCAGCTGATATTATGAACATTTCTTGGGATTGTGATGTTAAGTTAAGGCTCTGCTCGTTTTGATCCTGAAAAATTGTTGATTAAATCCATTTTGTATTTCTTCTTAAAACGTGTTGTCAGTATTTGCTAATGTGTGCAATGAATCACAATTTCAACAGCTGAACGTTTGGTTGTAGCCATGCATGTAGACCCCCCCCCTTCCCCGAGCATAATGTCACTGCAAAATATCAATAGGCCTAAATGATATGTAAATCAACACACGTCATTCAGAGTCTAAATAGAGATTCTCTGCTGTCTATATGATGGGATATTTAATATTTCTCGGAACAAATCAGAGATGAACTTCCTTATCGAGCACCCCACTGGCCCTTACATCTCCCCTGGTGAGTGACACATCTCTTGTTAGTAAACGGCTGTATCCCTGAGCAGCAGTGGGATCAGATCAGGAGCAGAGCAATATGCAGCATGTTATGAAAGCCCGCAATAACACAGACTTAGAGCATATGAGAGGAAATGAACCAGGAGGTGATGGAGCACCAGACCACAGGGTGCAAAAGTAAATTAAAACCATCCTTATTCCACAGGGAGCCGGCCTTGTTCACAGCCCAAATTTAAAGGGAGAAAAATAACATTATGTAATCCAGGAAATCTATTTTTATTTAGACTAGTGCTGCTAGTATACAGAATTATTATCAGTGAATGTGCATTATTATCTTTAAATTTAATGTACATTTTACACTTTTCTGAATGGGCATAAGTTGTAGTCACGCACACTCACACAAACACACACACAATCACACTAAAACAGTTAAACAATAGCTCTTTCTCTTGAGCTTCAGACTGATAGCATTGTAACTATCCACATTTTGTCGACCAATGATCTGTGCCTAATAGGAAACTGAATGCGTTTGAGATGTTAATTGCTGTAAAAAGGCCGTAACAGCATCTTTTTGTTTATGTTTTGACTCGAGGCAGAGTGTGACATGCATGAAACCCAAACTGTAATAGATCTTAATAGGTTTTGAAGAGGATTTGTCATACTGCCTGAATCCACACTAGTATTCGAGCAATAAAACTGTCTGCAACCTCCAACTTACTGATATTTAAACAGTAGTCAGTGAAAGTACTTAGACTAAGTACTATGTGAAGACATCCAACTTTTTAAATGATGATAGTAGATTCTAAAACCTCCAAAAGAAGAGTAGTTTAAAATTCTTTGACACAATCCTTGATAAAACAGTTGCACACTACACAACATGTTTAATGGTAATGACTTGGTTCTAGTTTGACCCTCTTTAGTCCCAATGGTTTGGTCTGGTTCTGTTCTTGGTCTCTTTCTTGTCCACTTCAGGTTTAGTTCTCTGTTTAGTTCCAGTTCTGATGTGGTGTGTGCGTGGTGTGCTTTTGAGACTTGAATGTCATTTTAGAGTACATACTTGTCCTAGTTTGGTCCAGGTTGGACCCTGGTTTAGAAGTGATGTAGACTTGGTCCTGTTCTAGTCCATTATAGTTTACTACCAAGGTTAGTTCCAGTTTTGATGGTGCAAGTGCAGCCTTGAGTTTGTGAATTGTCAATGTGGCATTTACTGAATTAAACTGAAAAATAATGGCATGCTTGTAAGATTAAACAGTCTCTTGCTGCACGGTGAAAAATGGGTAGGCTTCTGAAAGTGAACAGCACCGGTCTGTGGCTGCTGCAAAGAGGACATGAGGGACTCATAAACAAGAGCACAAAACAGTGTTTTTACTAATTAGGAAACTTATGACATCTTTATTAAAATTATACAGATCACAAACTGCAGCAGTCTCATCTTGTACATTTTGTGCTTTCGGGTATTGAATTATAATCTTTTTATTGTACCTTAGTACTCTGTGCACTATTAGTCATGTAGTCTTCTACTAATCACACCACAGTCTGTCAAACTGATCACACCATTTTATATGGAGCCATTACAGTGTTTCCTGTGTATTATGATGACAGTTTAAAGCAAGCCTTTTAATGAAGAGCTAAACACGCCTCCCCCTTTCCCCCTTCCCTCTCCCCTGTTTCCCCTCTTTATCTCCTCTATAACCCCTCTCTCCCACCCTCTCTCTTTCCTCTCTATCTCTCCTCTCCCTGCATGTCCATTTCACGTGGCGCACTGAGAATAAATGAGTAATCAGGGTCTCATTATAACAGACCACAGCAGTGCAGTTCTTTCCAAACAAACACAAGAGCAAAAGAAGTCCTGTGTCTACTGGGACCTCCGCAGCAGCAGACTTCTCACCTGAGCTCCAAACACTCACGGTGCTGCACATAAATGATTCAAATGAAAACACCATCATAGTACACTCATCATGTATTCATATAGTGATCCACTGTCAGGATAGATGCCTTACTGTCCACCTCGTGTTGCAATAGTGCCTCTGTGATGGTTTACTGATTCTTTCCTTCTTAAATAAATACAAAGCAGCTTTCATTTATTCAAACACTTTGTTCCCTTAGGTGTCATGCCTGCAGGATTTTTTCGGTGATGAGGACATCTTTGTGGCATGTGGACCAGAGAAGTATCGTTACCAGGATGATCTGATGCTGGATGAAACAGGTATGTGCAAAATATAAAACATATAATAACAAAACCATTAACACAGCATAAAGTTTTAATAATAATACATGTTATGTCTAGGCAGGCACCTTACAAAGCAGATAAATAATACAAAAAAATTTACTGCAAGCTTTAAGGGTTCAGATGCTATAGCAACGTGAGAACAAGTGGCTTTTCAGATGAGATTTAAATAGGGGAAGAGATTCTATGGCACAGTCCGCTCTTCAAGTGCACTGCTTTGAAATGTGAACCCAGTGTTTCATATGCAGCCATTTTGCCTCTGTGCAGTGGGCCCTACTGCCTTTAAAATGGAAATGTTTGTTGGTTTGGTGTTTGCATTTATATTTCTTGCTGTGAGTCACTTGCGGTGTGGCTGTGCTCTCCTCACCATTGTGTTGTGTAGTTGTGTAGTGTTATGTTGTTATGCTGCCTGAGCTTTGGCCCTTTTATTGTGTTTGTATGAGTGCATGAGTGTGTGTGTGTTTGAGTGTGTGCGTGTGTGTGTGTGAGTGACACTCGACTGGTCCAAGAGGCCGGGCTGTGTGGGCTGTGCACTTCACTGTGGACACCACTGTCTCTCCACAACAGACAGAGCTTGAGGAAAGAAGTCTGGGTACAACAATAGTGTTCTAGCCATAGACTGTGTAAAGTCTGTGATGGTACATGAAACCAAAAAGGAAATGGACTTGAGTAAAGGTGTAATTATATGACAATACTGACAACACTATTACTGGTTATTGTTAATACTGCAGTTTAGCTTTGGTGGTTCTGCTTTTGTGTCATGAAATAATGTATGTAAAAGAATTTACGTAGTTTATCCTCCACGTACATCTCTCAGTTTAACATTGACTCACAAAAGCTATATTTATACCATGATCTTAAGACTTCTACAACAATGTGTACACAATAAAAGTAAATATCCAGGATTGCTCCAGTTTATGATTAAACATCATTATTACATCATTATTAGTAAACATGAATCATCTTGGCCCTTTAATTCCAATTTTACATATTCGGATGAATCTCCATCTCTTTGACCTTGTTTAAAGTTGATTCATCGCTCGTTCTCATCAGCTCTGACTCTGAGGGCAGCGTCTGTCCTCTCCTCACCCTCGCTCTGCCCTGCTCTGACCCCGCCCTCTCTATCCTTTTACGCCTCATTTGTATTTCCCTGTAGTCTCTGCTCTGGCGTGCATCCAGGACTTTGTTTAATTCATGTGTTTCTTTAGTCTCACCTCAGGCTTTAACTATTATTCCCCTCATGTGAGTGGTAAACAGCGGCCCCTCCTACTCTGTCCCTCAGTCTGTCACTTCCACAGGCCCAAATGAGCTAATAAGGCTCATTATTAAGAAGAAATATGCCAGACTATTGGAAACTGACAAAGAAGAGACACTTCCATTGTATTATATGGGTTTAGTAAGTCTGACAGTTTCTTTGTTCACATGAGAAACTTTTTTCTAATGACGTCACAATGTTATTTAATATAAAAGATCAAGTAAGTATCTTTTAGTTACTACTGTATAAACTTTCAGCACATATATAAATCATGCCTGGATTAACCACTGCATAAAAACTCCGTATGTGCTGAGTTAGACAGAGATCATTTCCAGTTTGATGTGATCCACCAAAGGCTGTTGGTCTGTAAAATGTATGTTTCTGAAATTGTGGTAGCTCTTCTACAGTTCTAATATTTGGTTAATTTAGGGTCACTTTTATCCACTTTTTGTTTAGTTTCTTGGTTAGAACTACTGTAGCAATTATGTAGTCATTTTAGACCTGGGTTAGCCGTAGTTAAGGCCTGGAAAAGTACTATTATAGAGTAGTATAGATCTGGTGAGATTGGATTTTCTTTGATGGTTCTGGAAAGTTTGAGAACCATAGGAGTGTTAAACCTGCCCTCTAAATACTAACTGATCAATCAATTTTCTTATATTTTTCTGTTGGCTCTTCTGTATTTTCTATGCTAATAATAGATCATTCTAACACCAACAGCAGTGAAGTGTGAGTGTGAGCAGCTGTAGTTCATTTGGTAGCCATCTGCATCTTAATTAAGAGTAAATAAACATGTGACTGTACATTTAGCCATCTTTTTCCTAAATCTTTATCCTAAATCTTTATCCTTTATTAGTTTTACATTTCATTTTTACCCATGTTTGAGCTCAGAACTGTGTGCTTACTGCTGTTGTTTCCTTGGGGCATGATACTTTACCCATTTTGCCTATGATGGTGTTAATGTGGTGTGTGTGAATGCCTCAGCCACCCAGCCCCAAGGCAGCTGTGGCTATAGGCTTGTCTTGATAACAAAGTTTAAAGTACAATATGTTGTCAGAGAAAATATCATAATAAACAATATTTACAATACTTCATGCTATTAACACAATAACCCTAAAGCAAAATCATTTCAGTGAACCCTTTTCTAAATGAGTTATAGATAAAACATGAGATGCAGTAAATAAAAAGAGTTACTTATTCAACCTTCTACAGTTCAAATCGTTTTGAGCTACAAATAAATAACAAAAGATTTGCCTTGGTGAGTAGAAAATGCAAACACAACATATACTGAGCCCTACATATCATTTATTGAATGATAAGTCAATCTGGTAATTACTGTGACGGCCTAGCAGTGGCTACTTATAGGTTTTCAATGTGTGGGCAGTGAATGAATTATTAGATTACAGTAGTCTGGGAAGCACTTTATAATACCATTGCTATTTAAGCTGTAGCTGTTTTTCTCAGAGCCTTTACACTTTTATACATTTTTACTTTATTCATGGGTATCATCTGCCTGTTATGCTGCCATTTTGAGGATGATAGACAGTTCAAAAGTATTATTGTTTGTTCAGTGGTTAATTCATGTGGCAACTTGGTAATATTTTCATCACTCTGAAAGCCATGGACAACTCCAGCGCAGCTCTAGACCCTGGGCCAAAGTGCGTGAGGTACAGTGAAACACGTCTTTATACCAAAAGAGAGTGCTGCCATCAGACTGAAAGTGTCCTATTCTGACTGTATAATTATCACATCTGCCTCAGCCTGACACGCTGTCATCGTGTTAACCCAATACGCTTTGTGCATTCATCAGTGGACCACACTTGTGCGCTTTGTGGGGACATTACACACACTTTCATTTCACTCTTTTTCTGAAACCTACGCTCGGCTTGTATTATTGAAGCAGATTTGGCCTAAATGTAAGTAACGTGAAACAAAATCTCTATAGTACTTACAGCCAATGCATTCTTATTATGAATCCTAAATTTAAAGGTGCACAGTATAACTTGGGGCAAGGTCTGCTCAAAACATGAACTCTTACTTTGAGCGGAGTTGCTTTACTTGTGTAACTTGGCCTGGTGGAAATACATAATACATATATATATTCCATGGAAAATACATATGTTCGTAGCCATACTGCAGAACATTTTAGGCAAAGCAATTATATCTCCATGGAAAATGCAATGGCAGTCCCTCTAGAAAAGTTACACAGTGCACTTTTATCTTGTATAAAACCATATCTAACCTCATAAACACCTCGCATAGACTTATGGTTTCCCATGATTTCACTCTGAACAGCTTTGTCCATGCGTAAAGGCAAACAGAAATAAACAGAAAAAAAGACAAACATGTTTTTAAAAAGAAAAGCTCACATGCACGCGCACATGTTAGACTGGGGCCCACTCTTGGCCTGTGGTAATGAGTGGTAATGGGCTGTTTAATGAACAGGAGATTTAAGAGGAGAGGCAGAGGGACAGTGTTTATTTTTACTATCACATGGCTCATTTACTGGAGCTTTGAATCATACAAGACAACTGTGAGTCAGAGTCTTCACTCCAAAAGAATCTGAAAAGATTCATGAAGGTCAATGTGCATCCTTTGTCAACAGTGTTAAGAGAGATGTGCAAATGTTTTCTTCAGAGAACAGGCAATATTACTGAATCAGAACATGTTGAAAAAGTCAATTAGCTTTAATCATTCAAAGGTTCATTACTGCTTGTGTCTAAAAAGATGCCACTGTTTTACTTGTAATGCTCCAAAGTTTGACATTAGTTTTAACCATACTGATGGAACCATTTAAAAAGTTACACAGAGCAGCTTTAAAGGTTCTTGATAACTGCCACAAAAGGTACAAAACAATATTCACACTTTGTAGTGACTCACCTGTGAACCAAGTGTTGCCTGCACAAGCTGTTGAGATAAAAGGGAGGTTATATTTAAAAGTGCTAATAAGGTCTCACATCATGTACAGCTTGGTACTTATTTTTATCCCATTGCACATTTTTGAATCCTGTTAAATCCTAAGTGCAATACTTTCTTAAGTTTAAAAGTACACCAACAACCTTCTCTTTTTTCACACTGAGCTGCTCAAATGTTTGCACAAGTTTTTGACTGGAGCTGGAGACTGACAATGCACTGCTTGTTATGCAGCAGATCACTCCATGTTTTTTGTGGATTTACTTGTTCATACAAAAACTGAATGACTTGGGAGTAGAGGCAGTTATAAATATAGCTTGAGTTGAGGTTTAATTCAACATTCTCTCTGACAGTTGGATAGCTTCAGAATGGGCCTCTTACACACACCTCTGGTACAAGAATCCTTTTTAAACTTCTCTGTGTTTCGATTTTGTAGAGTGTCGGATGATGAAGTCAGTGAACTATGGGAAAATGTCCTCGTCCCTTAACAGATGCTCCCCCAGAACTGTCCAGGCCCTGCGCAGCAAGTCCCCCGCTTCTGGTAAGACAATGCAACAAGTTTAAAGGGACATGTGTGGTTTTGATTTATTTATTTTTTTATTACATTAACTGTGTCAAATCAAACATAGTCCTTACTGCTAACAATAACAATGTATATTCTTAAAGGTCCTACATTACACAAAATGGACTCATAAGCCATGTTATAATGCGAGTTGTCAATCAAAATGCTCTGATCCACCTTGTGATGTCATGTAACGGTTAGTTTTCATGTTAACAGCTGTCTTTTACTTTTAGTTCAGTAGAGACTGGAATTTCCAGAGCTAAAATTATCCAAATGATTCTAGTGAAGAACTTCCTGTTTTACTACATAACATCGCAAGGTGGAACAAAGTGTTTTCAGTTTGAGGGCCTGTTTACACGAGAACGCTTGCGGGTAGAAATGACAAAATATTTTATCGGAAGTGCCTTTCGTTCAGATGGTTATGGTGTTTTTGGGGCTTAAAAATGCAAAAATCTGAAACCACCCTCCAGAGTGGAAAAGTTGAATATGCTCTGCCGTAGCATTTCCGTCTACACTGCCCAAGACGCAAAACTCTGGTCAGATCTGCTCACGTCACGTACGTGTTTATGTCACATACTGTACATCACCACCTAGCATCACCACCAAGCCGCCTGGCATGCATACCCAATTGAATTCAACACACTTTTGCGTCACCATATGCACGCAAATTTCCACCCGAAAACGCTCGTCTAAACGCAGAATAAAAAGACGCGACGCCACTTTTGCATCTTCAGTTCAGACCGTCATCATATAAACGTAGCCTGAGAGAAGAACAGGATTTATGTGCTAAACATGTGTGAATGGAATAAAACACAACTCCAGGCATTTTGCGATGAGAAAACAAAACTACATCAGAGAATAGAGTAATACCGGCCCTTTAATTACACAAACTTTGAATATGATGACCAAGTTGTTTATAATTTGCAGTTTTGGTTCTCAAGACTATTATCCAATCAGAAAGCAGGATGAGTCACACAAGACTGTCTAATTTGGGTTGCTAATGCTGAATTCAGTATTTAGGACATAAAGTTGAATACTGATTACTTGACTTTCACATTACAGACAGCAAGGAGGCATGAGACAATAGTTATGGCAACAGTAGTCAAAATATTACACACACATCTTAATGTGGTTACCTTCCAGTGGAACCGTTTAATAGACTTGTTATGCTGAAGTAGTACTGACTAATAATATTTACCAATAAACAAAATTGGCAACAACATCCACATTAGCTTTCATTCATTAGCCATGTAGCAATTAGCAATTTCCTTAGTTTCTGTGCAAATCCTGAACACTGGCGCTGATAATGATGATTACAGTTGGGAGTCCTGATGCTGTTTTTTGTGATTGCGTGGTGTTTTCAGCTCATTACTGGATCAGTGTAGCGCCAAATGAACAGTTCAAATAGGCCCTGAACATATCAATCTGAGAGCACTGCAATGTTTGTCTGTCAGTGTTTAGCCCAGTGCCTTGCTGTGCGTCTGGTGCAGGCAGAATATGAATTCAAATGAACGTGATTTCACAAGGGAATGGGGGAAAAAAACTGAAAAATTACGATGAGAGAGAGGGAGAGGGGGAGAGACAGAGACAGAGAGAGGAGAAAGAGGGGGAGAGAAAGAGAGTGAGAGAGCGAGAGAGGATGGGGCTGGTGACTCAATTCTGCAGCTCTGCACAATGAATGAATCTCATACAACTGCTTTATCAAAGGTAGAAAACTAGAGCAAGAGAATACTATGTTGTGCGGAAGAGGTTCTGGGCCATATGACAAAAAATGTTGTTAAAAAAACAGTTTTTCCCCTTGTATTAAACAATACATTTTTCAATTCATTTTATTTTAAATAATTAAAAACAAATATGGCTTATGTGTATATAAACAATCATAATAACACAATATCAATAAAAATACAAACACAGTTAGTACATGCTTTTAACCTATGCCAAAATTAACATACAAACAAAATAAATCCTCCAAAATCTGAACTTCTTGTCTCCTTGACTCTTCTACCTCTACTACCAAAGCATTGTCTAAAAACATGTTTGATTAAAAAAAAAAAACATGTCCAGAACACCTCCCGAGGAAGGAGCCCAGGAGGCATCCAGAACATATTCCCGAGCCACCTCAATTAGCTTCTCTTGACGTAGTGGAGCAGCAGCTCTACTCTGAGCTCCTCCCGTGTGACTGAGCTCCTCACCCTATCTCTAAGGGGAATATCAATTTGATATTTGAAATTCACACAGTTCTCCTTGCAAATTATGTTGATCAAGTGAAAAGGGATTCTGTGAAAAAAAACAAAAAAACAACAACAACAAAAAAACAAAACAATAATGATATAAGCAGATTGTCACACATCCATATGAAATTAATAAATAAATGAGTAATAATGTAATAAATCTGCACCAATATTTCCAAACTAATATACAGTGAAGTCAGAAAAAAATATCTTCAAAATAATATAGCACAATTGAATTAAAAGATTTGTGTAGTAAATGTACCTCATTTACTACGGTTTGCATGGCTCATCCTGTAGTGAATGCTGATGCTCACAATAAGAATGTGATGAATGCCCTGAGAGGAGGAGGATTTATTTGAATGTAGCCTCCTGCTTAGGTCTGATTAGCTCCACACATATGAACTTGTCCTTTGTGACTGCACAGCTTGAGTGTTGCCTGGTGGTGAATGTGATATTTTGTATGCAGCTCACGCATGTCTCTTATCCTCCTGTAATAGTTGTTTGGGAATATGAGTCTAGTGATTGGGAGGCTGATGTAACACAGAGAAACCCCACTGGAAGAGTCAGCCCCACACCTCTACACAACCACTTTAAAAGCAAAAGCAAAAGACAAGTGAAATTACTATAGGGCGAGTTCCTTCATTTGAGTTTGAATATCCAGGTGACAAAAACTGGAAGATGACAACAGATACAAGAACGGCTCAAGTACTGTACATATTTATAAAGCACAAAACAGAAAAAGAAATGAAAGATAGAAATTAACATGTCAGCAAATATTGGATATATAGAAGGAATGTGAGCTTTAAGATAGGCTGGGTTCATTGGTTGGTTGTTTATTTTGTTGTTACTGTGATCAAAGCAACAATTTTCAGCTACATTTTATATTCAGCCTATTGCAACTCGTATTTCAGATGGTCTAACATTGTTCATTTAACTCTTCATCGTGTCAAAACAAAGAAACAGCAAAACCAAAAATGGCCAACAAGTGATAAAGAAGGTTGTGTGATGTCACCCATGGCATTCAGCTCCAGGCAAAAGAAGCTCACAACGATAGTTATAGGAGCGAATTTATTTACATACAAATAGGATCATGCAGAACAGGTTAATATGAATATTTTAAGACCAAAATGAGGAGGCTCACTGCAGCAGTTACAGAGAGAGACCATGAGTTGATGAAGTCAGAAGTGTCCCCATGAACACTTCCTATTTGTGACATGGTAGCTAGTGGGTGAATTATGTCCATTTAATTGATGTGATGAACACTAACCAATCATCAAATCTGTTGCCATATTAGCTCAAATAGACAGTCCACCCTACTTCATGCAGTAAGAAATTAAATATCTTTTGCAATTTGAAAATCAGGGACAGCTTAAACAAGTCTTTCTTTCTTTTATTGGCCCAGTTGGAGTGATATTAACTAGAGAAACCGGTAACACACCACCAAGGACATGTACACTTTAATCAAACAGTGTCCTGAATCTCCAACAGTATTCAAGGGGCAAAATGGCAGATCCCAATAAGGAGGAGTTGTTTACTTGTGAGTGGTGCAGCAGAGGAACACCTAAGATGGAGGACGGCAGGTGTGGCTTATGGAGAGAAACTTATGTGAAACTTTGGGGAAAAGGTTATGAGGATGACTCATAGTCTGTGTGATCTGGGCTGTCTCTGTCTACACTGCACAGAGACTATTTCAGAAAGAGAGAGAAGAGGGAGGGAGGCGGAGAGGGAGAAAGAGAGAGAGAAAGAGGAGTGATAGAGGGGAGGGAGAGGATAGAGTGAAAGTGGAGCGTTTGACACAGAGAGGAGGGAGGTGGTAGAGAGACAGAGAGGGAGAGAGAAGGGAAGGAGGAAGCAGAGACTGAAGAGAGAGAGGGAGAGAAATGGGGATAAGGGAGTGATAGAAATAGAGAGATGGAGAAAAACAGTGGGGAGAGTGAAAGAAGGAAGAGAGAGAGAAAGAGAAAGTGAGGAAGACAGAGAGAGTGAGGGAGGTAGAGAGACAGACAGAGAGGAAGTTTGGGGTAAAAAATGAAAAACAGACTCAGCCTGGTAGCCATGGAAACCCGGAACATGCAGTGGCCACTGATACAAAAGAGAGTAACACCCAAATAAGGCAGTGTCTTCCTGTCAAATGGCCTCTAGCCAATTACCACAGCTTGTACTCTTGTACTTTATACTTGTACCACTCTAACATAAGTCAGTAAATGTACTTATTTGTCTGATTTGAGTGTTAAGATTAAATTGGTCATAATAATGGCAAATCTATTAAAAAAAGTATTCATGGTTCTTCCAGGAATAAAATCAGCATAGATTAGTGCAGATTGGCAGTCTCGTTTCAGTGAATATAATAATCCACGACTACTGAAATATCATTGAATGCACATGCAGTGAATGAGTAATGCACAAAATTGTAAGTGTCTGGAGAAGCACATGATTATTATCATAGTCATAGCTGGAGTAATAGACGAAACAGCAGTAAATGTGCGTTCTTCTTGAGGAGTCTGATGAGAGTAACACCCAAAAAAGGCAGCGCTTCCTGTGAAAATGGCCTGATGACTGACGCTATTGGCTGGAGGTCTTAGTCACAATTACTTCCTGGTTTTGGCATAACTGAGCACAACACGTCGTCACGGCCAATGTTCCCAATCTACCCCAGGTTTTTGTAAACATGTTATTATCTATCATTGTGTGTGAGCAAGAGGGAGAGAGGGAGAGAAGGAGGAAAGGAGGAGAGGAGGAGACAGGAAG